TTATCTGTTGTTGAAATCCTCGAATTAAATTTCTCCTGGTAGCATTTCCCAATGGCAAATATTACCTTGCAAAATCTTAATTCGTGCCATGGCTATTTTTCCACATCAGTTTATAATCAAATTACATGGTCACTACTTCTGTGAAAGGCTGGAAAAAATTTCATAATCAGAACCATTGTAAAATAAATTTTAAAAAGATTCTTTGCTTTTAAGTCCAGAGACAACACAAATAAAGTAATTAAAGAAATCCCCAAGAGAAAAAAAGGGTTTTTCATCAGTGCTCAATATTACTTTTTGACCAGTATCACATGCATGTAGATGTACTGAACTGCCAAGTGCTCACATACTGGAGAAATATGTTGCAGCTTGCAGGTTTGTTTTTCATCCCAAGAATAATGGGCAAAGAACTGTAAATCTGAAGTCTTTGTCCCATAGGAGCTTGTTTACCAGAGTTCAAAGGTGTGGTAAGCCACTCATTACAATACTAATGTCTATTTTAGGGAACAATTCAAAGGGAACCAGTCGACTTACATAAATTAGCTTCAGTAACCACATTTAACTCATTCTTTCCCACCTAGAATGCCTTTTGTAGTTAAAGTCTTTTTGATCATGAGCTATATGACTATGCCACTCTGAAAATAAAGGGTCTTTGATCCCCACAACCTGCAGTTCAATTTCAATATAGCAGTCCAGTTCTGTCCATTCACTGTCAATGTGAACATACCTTGATATCCTGAATGTGCAAATCTTGACATTATATATAAGGACTTTTCTTCTATGTCATATTTCTGTGTAGCTATAATATTCTGCCCACCCATTTGCATTGTTTCTCATATTTTACTAAAAACTTTAACCGTCCTGGACAGTCAGTAATGGATTTGAAAGTAGCCATCTTTCTACAAAAAAATTTCAAAACCCGATTACAAAAGGAAACAGCTGAACTGGAATTCATGTCCAAATTCAGCATGATCAACTAAGGACTGAGTAAGGATCTCAACTGGTTAGCACATTACAAAGGCAATTTAACCTCTCTGGATACTCACACATCTCCACAACAAGTGCTGTGAATGACCTACTTCCACCCTGACTTGATTAGCTTCATCAACACAAGCAACTCTTCCTTATATATAGACATTTCTATAACTTCACTGCAATTCATCTGATAAAGTGGGTTTTATCCTCAAAAGCTTATGCCTTTTGCGTAGCTCGATTCGGCTTACCTTAAGCCAAGCTGCTGCAATGTCTACACTGTGGGAGGCTGATGGGAGCACATGCTTCCCTTGGCTTCCCTTACTCCTCACAGAATAAGAAGTATAGGACACTAGTAGGGGCTGCTCCAGCATTTGATTTGGGGGTCTACGCTAGACCCACTAAATAGAATGCTAGAAGATCAACCTATACAGAGTCGATCTTCTCTATAGTGTAGACATGCTCTCAGTCTCTAAGGTGCCATGGGACTCCTTGTTTTTGCAGATACGGACTAACATGGTTACCCTATGAGATTTGTTTGACTCTGATATGCTCGCTTTAAAATTCTGTAGAAGTGGATTCTCATTTACTTCAATGTCTCTTCACATTGTCAGAGGAGAACAGAGGGTGTGTCTACACTAGCCCCCTAGTTCGAACTAGGGAGGCTAATGAGGGCGATCGAAATTGCAAATGAAGTGCGGGATTTAAATATCCCACGCTTCATTAGCATGTGCCCGAGCATTTTGGAAATTGACTAGCCCGCAATAACTGCCCGTGTCTACAAGCAGCAGAGAAGGGCAATTCAAGAATAAACCCCTTACTTCGAATTATCAGTTAAACCCCCATGGAATGAGGGTATCCCAAAATAGGTATTTTGCATCTTTTAAGCAAGCCGATTATTTTGAAATATAATGGGCTCGCTATTCCGATGTCCCTGTAAACCTTGTTCCATGAGGATTAAGGGACATTTTGGAATAGCACTTGATTTTAAAATTTGCTGCTATACAAACAGCATCAAATTTCCAAATATTTCAAAACTGACTTGAAATAAGCTATGCAATTTTCGTAGCACAAATTGCGTAACTTGTTTCAAGCTAAGGGTGTAGTGTAGACGCACCCACTGGCAGCAGTGACAAGCCTCCCACTAACTAGTTTTTGGGCCATATGGAGATTGGGATCATCATCAACAACCACCATGGGCTCAGCGCCCGTTGGTGTCTGATACTTCCCTCACTATTTCCTTCCATCTTTCCCTGTCCAGTGTGGAGTGGCTTAGTTTCAGGATCTTTCTATAACAACTCCTCTTGAACTCCAATATCCTTCTCTTCAAATCTTTCATCATCACCAATATTTCACTTCTGTACAACATGCTGCTAAATACATACATTTTCAAGATGCTCAGCTTTGTTCCTAAGCTAATCACTTTACTTTTCCAGATCTTATCCATTGCCTTCAAACTCGCTCTTGCTTTCACTATTCTAGTCACTATTTCCTTCATATAGTCATGTTGCTTCCCAAATACATGAACTTCTCTATGTTCTTTAGCTCAATCCCATCTACGCTGATCTTCCTTCCTATTTCCTTATCTCCAAATACCATTGTCTTCATTGTATTGATATTCATAATCAGTCCATACCGTTTCCCTTCCTCATTTAGCACCTGCACCATTCTCGCTAACTTCTCTTCTTCTTCCTTGATGATAACTATGTCATCCACGAATCTCTAGTTGTTAATTCTCATCCT